GCCGACAACCCCCTACCGGTAGGTGCCGACCAGTCAAGGGTCGCCAACGGTCGGGGTGTGCAACACTGGTGTAGGCTAGTATAGGTGCTGAGCAGATAGGCTGGGTGCCGAGCGGCAATCGAGAAGAGCGACTTTGAACACTATGTTTGTGTGGTGAGAGAGTGTCAGCATTGACCTTTGAGTTCACTGTATTGCTCTTATATGGCTGATAACTCGGTGCATTGTGCTTTCTGCTTGGTACACGACTATCTGGGCTACAGTGTGATTTTGCAATTTGGACTTCTGTCTATCGCTCTTGCTCATGTTCCTTGCACACGGCAGACCTAACAAAAGTAGACATTCGTGGCATTCCATCTATTTGAATGTTTTTTTTCAAATTAAACCTCCCTTCTCAGGAGTGGCATTCTCCAAAAGTTGCAGGAAGCTCGAGCAGCTGAGAATAATTTTCACACAAGAAATTCTGCTGGGAAATGTGCAATAACCCGCTCAAATATGCCTATAACGTTGGCCAAGGGGGCCACACGAAAGCCACGAATCGGCCCTAAGGCCCCACATCCCACCCTGGGGAACAGAACCCCTGAAATGTGGCTTTAGAGGCCCTGCGCCCGACAGTTGACCAAAGTCAACTGCAAGTTGGAATATCGAAGCTCAGGAGTCAAAGTCTTCATGGACCCAGTCCAGGCCACCGATCAGACACGTACACTTGGCTGTAAGCAGGTATCCAGGCAGCATTCGGTCCAAGAGGAAGTCTGCAACTATACAAGATTCAGGCCGTCGGCTGTGAGTCAATCTGAGCCTCCGTACGTGAGAGACCAGAGGCTGGTCAAAGGCGTCAACACTATTTATTGATGCAGCCCCTGGGAGTCAACATTCAGTCTTGCCTTGCTGCTTGACGCTGGCACGGCGCTGGCTTGACGCTGGCTGGACGCTAGCAAGACGCTGAGGGCACGTGCGGGATGGTGAGAGAGAGAGAGAGAAAAGAGAGAGAGAGAGAGAGAGGAGATGGACACACACGAGAAGCAGCAGCTGAGTCAAGGTCCCGTTGACTCAATGAATGAACGAACAACCGAATGAGTGACCGACCCGGCCTGGGCCTAGGCCGGAGAGGTATACCGGCCTTGGTCCAGGCCAAAGTAACCCGGTACCGGACCGGGGTCAGGCCGACGGCCTGAAACAGGTCCGGCCTCACTGCCGGGCTGAAAGGGTACTGCTACATGATCCTCAGACATGTAAATGGATCAAGCGCTACATCAACACGCTATCCACTGAAATAGCAGAAAACCAAAGGAACGACAAAGGAACAATCCTAAATGTGGAGCAACCTCCGTGCAGAAAAGAGATGCAATGCAGACTAAGCCTCAAGCGTAATCTATACAACAATGTTTGGTCTGAGTCGACCCCAAAAAGCAGAAAAATGTTTGACCTGTGTCGTCCAACAAAGAGAGAAATGTCTCCTAAGCCAATGTGGCAGAGCATAAGTCAACACTTGAGCCCTAAAGGCTAAGAGTAACTACATCAATATCCGCATTGAAAAATCTCACGTGGCCTATACAAGTACACAATAGCCGAATAGAAGACAAGAAGCTCAGTTGCATGGGAAAGGTAGGGAAGGGTGGGAGGCGGCAAGTACAACTCTGAGAGTAAACTTCAAGGGGGTACCCACACAACCATATGAAACATCATCAGGCTCAAAGGGAGAATAACAGCACGACACCAGGCTCAATGGAAACCATCAAACGGGCACCGCCAACTGAAAGGAAAAAGGGCACTCACAGAACGGAGCACCCAAGCGAGCCTGGAAGGATAGGGGGGCCTTTGTCGGCATAGACATATGGCCAAGGGCTGTGAGCAAAGAAAAGCGTACACTCCGGGGGAGGGTGTGCAGCATAGGGTAAGGCAGAAGGGCGGCAGACGAACACACCCACATGGTCAAGGAAAACAAGGGTCATCATGCGACTGAAGGGTAAACTCGAGGATGGTCGATAGATGGGAATGATGGAAACTCCGTGGGCGAAAAAGTGAAGTAGTCCAACTGGTGAGTCTCTAGACTGAAGTCGAGTCGAAGTAGCCAAGATGAAGTAGGAGTAGTGCAGAAACCGAGTAGACGTCCGAAACCCTGCGGCAGGTACTCTGGTACTAAAGAGAAGCACTGAGGTCGGAGGTCGAATGTAGAAGCCAAATGTAGAAACTGAATGTAGAAGTTGAATGTAGAAGTCGAATGTAGAAGCAAAAGTACTTAAAAGATGACATATAGCAAAAGTAATAATAAAGAAGTGGAACGACTTTCTTGCTATTCTTGAACAAGCAGATATGGAGTACAGGATGAGTGATGGTAGGAGTCGAAGGTTGAGGGATGGCATCCAGGAGGAGGATGGTCAAAGGTGCAGGTGAGGGCGAGGAGAAGGGTCGAAGGCAGAGGGATGGGCCCTGTTGCTCTCTCTCTCTCTCTCTCTCTCTCTCTCTCTCTCCGTTCATACTTTTTACTTTTTTCGTGGCTTTCTTGCTATTTTTCAACAAGGAGGAATTGAGTAGACAAGGAGAACATGGAGGGAACGCCATGGAGGTATGGAGAGAGGAGGAGACTATGGAGGGAGGAGGAGATCGTGGAGGGAGGAGGCAATCGTGGAGGGAGGAGGAGCTCGTGGATCGTGGAGGGAATAAGAGATTTCGTGGACGTTGCGGAGAATGGGTGAAGTAATAGGGAGGCAGGAGGAGGCAACATGGAACGATGAAGAGGGAGGAGGCAACAACAAGGCAATGTAGAGGAGGTAGCTAAAAGGGCCTTTACCCCATGTAGGCCTCAGGCCTTGTAAAAGTAAAGCAACATGAAAGGGTATCTCGCCAAGGCTCAAAAACGTGAAAGCAGGGCAAGGGTCAAGTTCTCTATCAACAGGCACATCCAAATCTAAAGCAAAAAGCATTCACAAAAAGATGTGCATGTCCTGTCTGTTCGGGTAAGGGTGTGTACGTGCAGACAGTGTACCTGTTCGTGCAAAGAAAAGTGTCTGTTCAGGCAGTAAATGTGTCTGTTTGTCTAGAGTTGTGCCTGTCCGAAAGTGAAGTCAATAGGTAAAGTCCCAGTTCTGATCTAAATCAAGGGGACAGTCCAGATTCAGACTTTCAAGTCCAAATCTAGGCCGAGAGGCCTCAGCAGCAGTTGAACCTCCTTGGGACTATAGTGGGACGCATGCAATGCAGGGTCTGGGACAAAGGAAAGGCTGAATTGAGCCAATGCAGACCCAGCGAGGAGTGGCCAACACTATAAAGGAAGCTGCCAGCCTCATTCCTCGCCAGATCTCCACTGGCTACAATGCGTGGAAGTGCTGTTGCGCTTGTGCGCTAGTCAGTAGGAGCTGCGCTGAAGAAGAAGATGCGCTGGATACAGATTGTGCGCTGGAAGGGATGCAGCCATATGTTACATGCAGCGCGTGCACACACGGGCCATTTGGCAGGCCCGACCGCCATCTTGCAGGCCCGACGGTGTTCAGGCCAAAAGCCTGAACTTCAGGCCGAAAGCTTGAATTTCAAGCCGAAAGCCTGAAATCCAGGGCTTACAGGCCCCCTGTCGGTTCAGGCCAAAAGCCTGAAGTCCAGGGCCTACCCCTGGTCGTTTCAGACTAAAAATGGCAACAACCTTTTTAGCCTGAAACGAAGGGCCATTTTCGGTCGTTCATCAGAACGACCGGCCCTGAAACTCAGGCACCGAACCAGGGTTTCGGGAACAGACTATTAATAGTCTGTTTCCCACGCCAACCTCTGGCACATTTCGGCATTGGCAAGAGCTGCCTCCTCGGCCTGACTGGCCTCCAGTAGTCAGAAGGCAGGCCGAGGTAGTACATAGGACTTCCTAGGCACTTCCGAGCGAGGCAGTTGGCAGTTGTAGTCTTCAGGATTCGGGTGCAGCACTCTGGAGGGAGCGCTGCGTTGTAGTAGTGGTAGCGTTAGCTAGTAGTCTTCAGCGCTGGGCGCAGTAGGTAGTTGTAGTCTCCAGCGCTGGGCGCCATAGCTAGGTAGTACTAGAGAGAGAGAGAGAGCTTGGGCGGAGGCCAGAGGTACCTACCTGCAGCGCCGTTGCTCCAGCTTCGTCTTCGAGGTACCTGCAGCACAGCGCCAACATCACAGGTTAGTACCTGATTTGTAACACACAGAGAGAGAGAGTTCTTCTTCTTCTTCTTCTCAGTCCACCATCTCTTCTCTCCCTCTCACTTCTGACTTCACTGCATCTGCAGACTATGAGAGAAGAGATATAGAGCTTGGTGACATTTGATCCAGACTCGACTTTCGGGGATTCAGACATGGCAACGAGGGACTATTTGGGATTGGTGACCAAGACTTGGTGTTAACAACATTCCCATGTTCTTCCCTCCTTTCGTCTGATCCTTATCTCTTCGTCTATGTATGTCTGGACCTGGCGCTTTCTTCCTGTGTGCAGCGCCAGGCTCCTTCACACTTGGTGATGGATACAATGCATGTTTAGTCTGAGTTCAAACATTGATTGGGCTAGTTAGAAGTACTCTAGCATTCTGCTTCGTTACTCTGAACTACGTGAATGAGGTCAGTCCTGTCAGGTCAGTCTTTGTATCAAAGTCTTCCCTGCGCTCTTCAGTACCTTTATGTATGAATGAGAATGTACATTGCTTGTCGAGATTCTACTCGTACCGCATTGTCTATTCAGTCCTTTTCATCACATTGCAGATTCTCGGTTTATTACGTACATTGCAGATTTGTGCATGTAACAGTTGGTATCGGAGCTTTTGCACGTGAATCAGGACGATCTGATTTGACACGTGTGCGGGGATCAAAAAGCTAGTTAGACTTTTCTGTTTGATTAGGACATACTAGTTAGACCCCAAATCACGATCTTGACCTTACTACCAAAAAAAAAAAAAAATGAATTTTTTTCTTTTCTCGGATTTTATTTTCTCGCTATTCTGCTGTGGAAAATCGCTATATCGCAACATATGAAATTCCTATTTTCGTTTTTTTTCTTTCTGAAAATTCGAAATGTCGTTGTTAAAAAATCCGAAATATATTTCTTTTTGAAAGTTTCGATTTTCTGTTGCATTTCCCGTTACTTAGAACTTCGGAATATCTTCTTTTCTGAAATTCGTTTTTCTGAAAACGGTACGGGAAATACCTCCTGCACGTATTTTTTTTATTTTTTTTTCAAACTGCGAATATTCCCATCGGAATAAATCCGAATACTTGTCATTTCTGTTCGGACTTTTTTCGAAGTTCTTGGATTCTGTCAGTGGTTCTATAAATCGGCTACAGTTCAAAGTTGAAAACTTTTGCTTTCAGTGAGCATTGCGAACTTCAAGGGAGGTTGGGAGACCTACCGAACTTGCAAAAATCGGGATTTTTTATTTTCTCGAAAATTCTTTTTGCAAAGTTCAAACTTTTCTATTTTGATTAGTGGCTCCTTATCTAAGTGTGAGTTGGGCGATTATCCCACCCACCCCTCCCCACCTATGTTGTTGCCATCTCTCGCCTTGCCGTTTCTGGTCGTCTCCGGGTACCCCTTGGGACGGCATTGGCAAGTTGCCACGTCAGCAGGCCACGTCAGCAGACCACGTCAGCAGGACACGTCAGCAGGCTATGTCAGTACGTCAGCAGACCACATCAGCAGGCTACGTCAGCAGGACACGTCAGCATTGCCACGTCAACAGCAAGGGATACCACATCAGTAGGCACCGGTCTGGTCTATGTTGTTGCGTTCACAGACAGCAGTCATGGACCAGAAGGCCGGGGAAACAAACGAGGCCTATCAGGCCCGCATGTTAGCCTGGAGTATCGAGACAAAGAAGCGGGCAGATGACGCTGCCACAGCAGCCAAGAAAAGGGCAGAGGATGCCGAGCAGGCACGTCTGCTGGCCGTGCAACAACAGCGCCAGCATGACGAGGCAGCAGCAAGGGCTGCCGATGAAGAAAGAACACAGCGTCGTGAGAAGATATTCACCGGAGAGCGGGCGTTACTTACCATGGCAGCAAAATGGCGAAGCGAGGCCGAGAATAGCCAGTTGGAGGATAGCGCAAACAAGATAGCGCTCCTCCTCTCGCATCTCACGGATCTCCTGGCAACCTGCATTACACAGCAGGCGGAGATCCTTGGTCTCGACAACTCGGTAGCTCATCTCCAAGACCGCCTTCAGCGGTTGGAGCAGCAACCAGTCCCCGCCGCCGACCCAGGCTCTTCCAATACTGCCGACCGCCTCACCGCATTGGAGATGCACGTCGGCTCCCTCCAGGACGGCACACAGTTACAGCAGACCGCGACGCAACAGTTGCAGCAGCGGAGCTGCACTACCGCCACCACCTCGAGTCCGGAGCCGCGCGAGACAGCTCCTAAGTTCGATGGGCAGGAGATCTTCCACGACTCAATCAAGACAGACCCAATTCCATGGTTTCGCAAGTTCGAGCTCACGCTGCAGCTCCACAACGTCAAGGAACACAAGCATCACGCCTACTTGTACTCTCGCTCAGGGGGCGCGTGTCAGGCTTGGTTGGACAACCTGTTGTCCAAGTACGGAGTGGTAGCTAATGACTTGCACACCAAGATCACCTGGGATGATCTGAAGGCGGCGTGGCACAAGCGGTTCCAGGTAGAGCCGTCAGAGATCAAAGCCATGGACAAGCTCATGGTCTTCGAACAAGGCACGCTGCCGAGTACGGACTGGATCGCCGAGTACCAACGCTTGACGTTAGTCCCAGACATCCAGATGGGCTTCAAGGCCATCCGCCACTACTTCATCTCAAGGTCATGTCCGGCATTGAGCAATGCCCTGACGCAGGTCGAGGACACAACGACGGCGGAATTATTTGACAAGGCTGCGCAGATCATCGTCACGAACAAGGAGGCCAAGAACCTCCGTTCATCTGCGTCAGGCCCGAGCAGGGACCAGCATCGGCCAAGAGTGGCCGTGGTCGCAGCGGCAGCGCCCTTAGACCAAACCAGCGAGGCTGCGTCTGCAAGTGAAGGAGACAGATTCACAGCCGCCCGGGAAGGTGGTCGCGCCGGCAGAGGCCGAGGGCGCGGCAAGCCGAAGATACACACCGTTTCTAGCCCCAGGCCCGGTGCAGCAACTCAGACAGGCCCATGGACCCCGTATGGCATCTCCGAGTCCGCATACAAGGCGCGCGAGAGATTCCACTATTGCCTTTGGTGCAACAGCGATCTTCATCAGACGCAGGTTTGCCCATTGAAAGGCAAGGGCGGACAAGGAAACTGAGCACCGCCGAGAGTGACGCGACGACACTCTCGACGCCTTCGGAACTGGTTTCTTCGCGAGTGACCAGCCTTCATTCCGAGGCGCACGCGGAAGTCGACAGTCCTCCGATCCTATTTTCTTTTGAGGACTATGTTGCCCGGCTCATTCCTACGCTGGGTACTCAAGCTCAAGGGCAAGAAGTGTGTGCGGATTCTTCTCCGTCCGACAGTGGCGACTTATCATCTTCAAGTGGTTCTTCACGGGATTCGGCGCGCGAGTTCAACATAGAGGTATTGGACCCGCTCACGTCCGAGGACTTTACATGGCTTCCTCTCCCGACCACAGGCCGCTTGCCGGGACCGCAATGCGTAGCACTATGCGCTCATCTCCACACTTACTTATCCTTCTATGCACCACCAACTTCGCCGACGGATGACAAAGTCGCGGTGGGGTACATCCTTGGGTATACTACCAAGGTGGCCCGCGAGTTTCGCACGCAGCGGTACGATAACAACAATGCACCGCTCATGTATGTCCGCATCCAGGTTGGGCAAGCGTCCTGCAGCGCTTTGCTGGATAGCGGCGCGTCTCGCAACTTTATGAGCCAGTCTTTTATGCAAAGAGCTGGCCTTGGCGCACAAGTTTGGAGGAAGGCAAACCCGACGGCGATCAAGTTGGCGGATGGTAAGACGCAACAACTTCTCGAACGTTACATCGAGGCCGTACCGGTCTACTTCGCACCTCAGGCATGCGAACCGGTAACATTCGATATTCTCGACACGAACTTCGACATCATTCTGGGAATGCCTTGGCTCGCAAGTGCGGATCACACGGTCAACTTCCATCGGCGGACTCTTAGCGTTCGCGACGCCTTTGGCGCGGAAGTGGCGGGTACTATTCCTCTACCGCACTCTTCGATCCGGTGCCAAGTGGTGACGGCCAAATCATTCCGGGCAACTTGCGCGTAGGAGCAGCCCGAGGAGATCGGCCTATGTTTCTTACGGACCGTCGCGGTAGCCGACTCTTCACCCACGGACTTGTCTTCGGACCCCCGTGTGGTACGGTTGCTGGATGAGTTCGCCGACATCTTCGAGTCACCTACCGGTGTGGTGCCGGGTCGGCCATCTCTCACGAGATCATTCTTGAGGCCGGTGCTTTTCCGCCGAAAGGTTGCATCTATCGGATGAGCGAGGAGGAGCTTGAGGTACTCCGCGCACAACTCGATGATTTGTTGGCCAAGGGCTGGATCCGCCCAAGTAGCTCCCCATATGGAGCACCAGTTCTCTTCGTCAGGAAGAAGAACAAGGATCTACGATTGTGCATCGACCACCGCAAGCTCAACGCGCAAACCGTCAAGAATGCGGGGCCTCTTCCTCACATCAACGATCTTCTCAAGCGGCTGGGCGGTGCGAAGTATTTTTCCAAGTTGGATTTGAAATAAGGATATCATCAAATCTCGATTCAGCCGAATGATCTCTACAAAACCGCATTCGAGACGCGGTACGGGCATTTTGAGTGGGTGGTCATGCCTTTTGGCCTCACCAACGCCCCGGCGACATTCCAGGCGACGATGACCAATGAGTTTCGTGCAACGTTGGACCGGTTCGTGCTGGTCTACTTAGACGATATTCTCGTCTACAGCCGGACATTAGAGGATCATCTTGGACATCTTTGATGAGTGTTGGAGACGCTCCGCCATGCCAAGTACAAGGCCAACCGCGACAAGTGGGAATTTGTTCGGCAAGAGCTGGAATACTTGGGCCATTTTGTCACACCGGAGGGCATCAGTCCGCTATCGGACAAGATTCAGGCCGTCTAAGAGTGGACGGAGCCTCGGAACGTCACGGATGTCCGCTCGTTCCTCGGTCTTATGGGCTACTATCAGCGCTTCATAAAAGGCTACTCCAAGATCGTGGCCCACTTGAACAAGCTTCCGTGCGAGGATCGGCCGTTTGACTTTGGAGAGGAGGCGCGGGGATCATTCCTCGCTCTCAAAGCCGCGCTATTGTCTGCGGAGGTCTTGCGGGTATACGACCCGCTCGCGCCTACACGTGTCACTACGGATGCGTCAGGCTATGACATTGGTGCAGTCCTTGAGCAACATGATGGTGTGGACTGGCACCAGGTCGAGTACTTCAGCAAGAAAGTGCCACTTGTGCATTCCATGGACGATGCACGCAAGAAGGAGCTCCTCGCCTTCGTCCACGCGCTCAAGCGGTGGCGGCACTTCCTCCTTGGTCGAAGCCAATTTCGCTGGGTAACGGACAACAATCCGTTGGTCTTCTACAAGACC